AGCCTCCATCAGAGACCCATGTTTGTTTGTGGCATGTACCGGCATTCATTAGAGAAGCCTTAACACAAACAGGAAGTTAGGATGGGTTTTAATTCCTCTTGGGAAATCTCTGAAACAGTAATCGTGATTCCAGAGAGCAGAAGATGCAAAGTACTTACAAATTGGATTAGCCAAATAAATAGAACTCACTTTTTAGAGTGGCTGGGGCTGTGCTCACCGTCTGGTGAGAGATAGAGGTTTTAGGATTAAAAATCGAGATATACTACCCTTTAAAAAGGTACAGATGGTCAATGTTAGGTTTGTTTGGGTTTGGTTTAGTTTGGAGTTGGGGCGGGGGCTAGGCCAGCCTTACACTCAGGACAGCCCTGCTCCCGTTTCTCAGGTGCTGGGGTCCCAGGCCTGAGCCATCACTACTGGTGCAAATGATAACTGTAACGTTAGGTATATTTTCCCCACAGCTCTTTCCCTTTGTTTGTTTTGTTTTGTTTTAGAAATTGGCTACTAGTGATAATTAAGAGTGCCCCCCAGAACAAACTCATCACTTTTTTTCTCTTCTTAAAGTCTTGTTTGTGGGCCAATCAGATGACGTAGTGGGAGGAAGAAATCCCCTGCTGTGTAAACCTAATGACCCAAGTTCAAAACTGACTCCCAGAAGTTGTGCTCTGACCGCCACACACTCCCCATGGCATGGGCTTGTGTATCACACACATACATATAAAATTAAAGGTAAAGAAAAATGCCATTTACTTTTTCAGAACTGTAACCTGGGCTGCCCCGTAATAATTCCTCAGTCGGGCTGGTTTATTTCCTGATTATCTACTTTGTGTCATCTAGATTTAAACCTCTGATTTCACACGAGCTACGTGAAATCTAGTCAGTTTCCCATCGGACAGTGGTTGTAACCTGAGTCAGTCAGTGGAGGTGGTTTGCTGTGAGACATGAGTGACAAATGTCCAGAGTCCCAAGTCACACTGCCTTCCTATTTTTCTTTGCTGAACCTCACTCAGAAAATGCCCAGGCTCCCCTATTCCCACATTTTCTCAATAGGGCCCAGCCTCCTGCTGAGCCAGCAGGTCAGAGGGGTGCCCATGGGGTGTGTGTGTGTGCATGTCTTTTCCTGCATGTGTGTGTTTCCTGTTGCATGCATGTGGTGGATTTGGGGGATGCAGCAGGGAGCTTGTTCACTTAGGAGGTGAAGGGGAAGTCTGCAAATTTCATGTTGGTTCTACTGAGGCCTAAACTTGCCATCTAGACTGACATAGGATTGGCACCAAAGACCTCCTACGTGTACCAAGTGGGTTTGGAGGGGGGACATTTTTTTTAACCCTTATATGGTAAAATAATTCCAAAGTGTTTCTCCTCTGCCTAAAACTGGGACTGCCTAAAATTGCTGACCAGTATCTATACCTGAAGATATTTTTTGTTTGTGCTGCTAGAGGTGCTTGGCCCTGGGAGGTCCTTGGGGGAGGAAGGGAGTTTGAGAGACTGCTCAAATGGACAAGCACCCAGCAGGCGAGCAGTGGACTGCACTTTGGAAGGGAATGACAGAGTGCCTCTATTCTAGCCTCCTCCTGGGGTGAGCACTGCCAGGCCCATATGTCCTGGACAGTACTCACTTCCGTGATGTTTTGATGTTGAACAAAATCTGAATTTGAGGGCATGTTTTATCAGCTGCTTCCAGCTCTGAGTTCTGTCTTGTCCCCTTGTGGGATGCCCACTATGTTGCATAAATTAGACCTCATGTATTGAACCTGTCCATATCGAGGGAATCACCACAGTGGCCATAGTTTCTGGGAGGAAAGGAGTTGAACAAGACATTACTTTCTTAGTGATTATCAGCCAAAGAAAGATTAATTAGTGCTTCCACGGGTGCTTCTGGGGCCAAGCATCATGCTTATGGCTTCACATCTCTCACCTGTTAAACTTCAAGTACCGTCGTCTTAGGGGAAACCAAGGATTGTAAGTAATTCTCCCAAGTACCTCCAACTAGTAAATTAGGGTTCTGCAGGAGACTATGTATAACTCCAAAGGCAGCCTGGGCTACATAGTGAATACCAGACAAGCCAGAGCTACATAACAATAGCCTGTCTCACAAAAATAATAATAAACAAGTAGAACAAAATAGGATCCTGGGATTTGAACCAACTATGACTATGCTTACCCTAGGGCTCATCCTGTTGTCTCAAAGCATAAAAATAGAGACTCAAAAAAAAAAAAAAAAAAAAAAAGAATAAGCTGATTGCTGCCATCACCCATATCCATCTGAAATCCCTCTGTTGGGCAGAGCAGAGATTCCATCCCTGGAATCATAGGAAAAGCCAAGAGTCCCTGATATGAATGAGAATGAGGGGGCTATTGGGACCAGCCAAGAGCTCTGTCACATGTCCCCCTGGCCACGAGCATGTGGAAGCTTTATCTTCTCGTGTTTCCTAGTATGCTAAAGCTGCAAGAGAAAATTCAAAGCGTGGTTCTGCATTTTAATCTTTAAAAAATAAGTAAATTAGGCTATGATATAAAAAATGGAGTTTTTGTTACTTTCATATTGGGATGTAAGTAAAATACACTTGGCTTTGCTTAGGCTGCAATAGCAAGAACACGCTGGACTGGGTGACTGAGATAACAAGTACTTATTGCTTATAGCTCTTGAGGCTAGAAAGTCCAAGTTCAAGATCATAGACTAGGGTGCTGGCAGATCCAGGTCTTGTGGGCATCCTGTTCTACAAACAGGCATCCTGTTATATGGCCAAGAGAGGGAACAAGCCTGCATGCTTTTTCTTATGGAGACACTAAGGCCCATTCACCAGGACTCTAACCACCCAATGTCTCCATCACCTGGGAGGGGGGGCGGGGGGAACGGTAGTCAGTGTATAAATTTGAGAGGGACGTAGCTGCAGGTCCATCCTTCCACAGATCATGGTTTCAGGAGTCAAACAACCCAGGCAGAATGTGGCGCTTTCCCACTTCCCTTGAAAGGTCTGTTTGGCCCCTGGACTCCTGCCCTCTGAAGGAGACAGAAGGATACAAAATAATGCTTTGATGATGGGGCCTGAACCAAATCACACTCCTGACATTGTGAATGAGCCTCACAGCCCTTTCCACATTCCCACTTGATAACATTACCTGTTACAGAAGCACTACGGTAGGTTTAGTCTGCACATTTTAAAAAATTACGTGACCTGGCTTCAGGGTTCTTGCAGTCCCAGTCCACACACTTTCAGGAGTCAACTTCGACTTTAGTGGACACCATAATCAGAAATCAGCTGCATTTCCCTCCCTACATACATCCAAAAATGACGTAGGCCACGCCTTTCCCTAGGTTTAGGCAGTTTACTGCAACAGCTCCGCTCCTCAGTGCAGAATCCCATTCTTTCTCCTGCTCCACGCCTCCCTGTGTGCAGGCGTGAGCTCACCAGACACACTCAGGTGTGAGTTAATGGGTGTCCCAGGTTAGCATGCACCTGAGTTACTGATGGGAATGCTAATTGTTCTTCACACATCCTTCCTGTGCCAGCACCCTAGAACTGTGGTGCTCACTTTGTGTTTGGGTAATGTCTCACCAGACATCCCAAACTCAACACGAGCTGAACCTGATTAAGTCTTCTTCGATGACTCAGGAAGAAGTGGAGAGTCTTGCAAGCCTCCACACATATCGTAATGGTTTCTTTTTTCATTCATGTAGACTTTCTAACTAATTAGCAAATAGAGTATCCGGTGCAGCCTTCTCCTGTTGACATGATCTTGCACAAGATTTTTAATACCTGGCAAGAAAAAGCATGCCCAGAGATAAGGTGAAACTTTAGCTAAGAAATTGAACATCACAGGTAGATGATTGCAACTCCTAGAGGGAGAAGTAAGAGTGGAGATGTTAGGATCAGCCATACCTGCTTCAGATCAGAGCTTACTCACCTAGGGACTCTGTGACCTTGAGCAAACTTTTGGCTGACCAGAGCCTTAGTTGCCTCATCTGTGAAATGGGGCTAAGACGGTCACAAATCACAATCATTTGTTGTGTGCATTGCATAAAAACGCACAGGGAAGCATAGCACAGGTGGTCGCCATAGAGCTGCAATCTTTCACAAACACCAATCTCGGACCTGCTCTGGGTCATGCAGTCTCAGGCAGACAGGTATCACTGCCATCTTTGCCAACACCTGGCCATGGATAGAACCCAGAGCCTCGTTCACGCTAGGCAAACAGGATTTCACTGTGTAGCCCAAGCTGGTCTTGAATTCACAATCCTCCAACCTCAGCTGCCTAAGTAATAGGATTGCAGATGTGCACCACCACACCCAGCTCAGAAAGGTCCCTTTAGCTCTGCCTCCTTCAGTTAGGGGATCCCTCAGAGTCCATAGGATGATGGTGGCCCAAGGTCGGAGTTCTGGGTCCCACAGCAGTACCCAGCCCCACAGCTCTACTGTGTGTATTCTGCATGTGAGTGCCTATGATATCTTTCTTGTGATGGACTGTTGCTCTCAAGGTTTTAACACTAACTTAATCCAGTTCCCATTATTCACAGAGTAAGAAACAAAGACTTAAAAAGCCTTGCTGGGCTCTCCAATATAAAACTTCCTGATGCCTGGGGCTAGCCATTCCCAAACCCCCTCATATCACAGATGGAAAACGCCAAGAGAGGAAGACTGTGGCCAATGAGCTGCTCAGTCTTGATATCTAATCTTTAGATACAAAACCACTTCCAAGAGAAAGGCAGCCACGCTATCTCAGACCATGGCTCGATTTGTCTGTGGACAGTTACACGTGGCAGGTGTCCTCGTATTCTGGATTTACCTTGGAGCTCTTACCCTCTCCCACTGGGCAACAGCTTCTCCAGCCTAGTGACATTTGCTCCATCACTGTTAATTGGACACATCTCACTCCAGGACCAGTGAGGGAGGCCTGAGCAGCAAGATCTATTTCTTCTATCAGCAAAATACCTGCCAGGACTCCCCTCCATCATCCGCTCAGGGGTTCCTCACTTTCTTTTCCTCAACCTCTATTTCCAGCCTCTCAACATTGCCTACAGCCACATCTACAGCTCCTACAGGAACTTTGTGGGGCCCCCTCACTTCAAGACCATCTGCAGACTGCTGGGCTACCAGGGCATTGCCGTGGTCATGGAGGAACTTCTAAAAATCGTCAAGAGCTTGGTAAGGGGAGATGCTGCTGCTTGGGTGTTCCCAGGTACAGGAGCTGTGCACAGGATTGGTTTTTCTGAGCTGAAAACCAAATCTCAGGTGTACCAGCTCTGCCACTTGATGTCACCCTGGGAGTCCTTGGTCCTTATTGCTTGGTGATTTCTACATATCTGGTATATTCCTTTATACCTCTTTTTATGTAACTTTTTTTAAATTTATGTGTGTGTGTGTGTGTGTGTGTGTGTGTGTGTGTGTGTGTGTGTGTGTGTGTGTGTCTGCTTGTCTATATGTGCATCATGTGTATGCTACCCACAAATACCAGAAGAGGGTGCTTGGAGTTCCAAGCAGTTATGACGACTTGATGTGGGTGCTAGAAACCAAATCCAGGTCCTCAACCAGATAGCAAGTGCTCTTAACCCCTGAGCTGTCTGACCCTGAATTGGCCTCCCCATTTGTGACTCAGGACTCAGTCGTTTTTTTTTTTTTTGCTGAATTGAGAAATCCTGATTTTGACATTCAAAGCCAGATCACTATTCATGCTGCTCAGCTGTGCTCTCTGTTAACTAATTCGGCGTGATGGGCTGTGTGTGTAGTTCAGTTGGTACAGTGATTCCTGATACGTACAAGGCCCTTGATTCAATCCCTGGTACTCTCATAGAGCTGACTGCTGTGGTAGTGCCAAACTGTAAACCCAACATCCCGGAGGTAGATGGAGGAAGACCAAAGGTTCAAGATCATCCTCATCCACATAGTAAATTCAAGGCCAGCTTAGACTCTGTGAGACCCTTTAAAAACAAAAATCAAAACAACAACAACAAAAGACTTTAGCATAGCAAATCCACAACTCATGTGCCGCCATTTTTTTTTTTAATTCTCATAGTCCTTGGGATTTCTTGATGACCACTGCTACCAATATTACAGGGAGTTCTGTATCCCTTTACCAACATTCTGTGTGTACCCCAAGTATGGTTGTCTGGAGCTTCACTTAATTCCCTGTGGTGGTACTGAAGCAAGGCCAAAATATGGAAACAAGATTTCTCTGGAAATCTTGAGTTCCTGAAGAGAAATAACTTATAATCAACCATGTATGGAATAAGCCAAATTCTCTTGCTCAGTCTAGTTCTTTAGAAGCAGCCATGAGAAGCTGCTATAGGTCATTAAGGGCTGCTGTGCCAAGTCCAGAGTAAAACAGAAAAAATGCGGTAATAGATTAAAGATGTCTTTCCTTGGACATGTAGAGGAATGTGCTATGAATTTTCCATGCTTAAATTAGATTACATGCATTAATCCCCACAGTTCCCTGCCTACATTTCATTTAATCTCCATATCATAAGCATTTGCAACCCTGAAAAAAACCCTTACCTAGATATCCCACATCCCTCATAAAGTCTATAAAGTCTTTTTCTGTCTAAAGGACAGGGGGGACTATTCCCCCCTTTTAAATGTTTGGCTCACAAGTCTTAACAGAACTCCAGTATCCCTCTATGGCCCTGCGTTTGGCCCAGAGGTAAAGAGTAGAACAGTGGGCTATCTCACTCCAGCTCACTCATCTGTATCATCTTGCAGCTCCAAGGCACCATTCTGCAGTACGTGAAGACGCTGATAGAGGTGATGCCGAAAATATGCCGATTGCCTCGGCATGAGTATGGTTCCCCAGGTGGGTGACGGGAAGAAATGAATGCGCACCCAAGGCAGGGCGGGGCTTCCACCTCAGGAGATTTCAGTCTCCAAGTTGCCAGACAACTGACATCCTGGCTCTGCCTGCCCCTGGCCTGATAGCCTTCAACCTGTCTTCCCGCCCTGAGCAGTAGCGTCATCCTCTGTGAGGATGGTGAATGGCCCTTTGAGGATGCCCGCTGGACTGCTGGCCAGCTGCAGTGAGCTGCAAGTGTGAGAGCATTTAAACAGTGCAGAGGAGGTTTCCGTGTATGGTCCTCAGCACCTCTAGCAGGCCTTCCCGTTTGTCTGTTTAGAGGTAGCTGGTACCCCAGCTGGGGTGCCGTGTGACATAGATAAACTGAGGCTGGAAATGGTTGTTTTTTTTTTAATCCACTCAATATGGAGAAAGACAGAAGCTATAATGTGGTGCCTTGTATTTTTTGTTTCCAAAAGCTAAGACATAATTTTCCGTATGAGCGTGATTGAGAACAGGAAAAGGATGAGGCCGGAGGCTCTGGTGTCCATGCCTAGCTGCACCACTTCCTGGCTGTGTGACTATGGGTGGGTCACTTACCCACTCTGAACCTCATCTGAAAAAAGATGATAGTGTCCGGTTGATATTATGAGTAATGAAATATTATAGATAGATATACCTAACTCAGTAGATAATATCTATAAATAATAATTTTGCTGTTAGGAATTCGGGTCCCTGTTGGAGGGTCAGCTAGGCCACAGCTGTTCCATTTGAGATTATAGATGTGTTTTATTTTGCTCCAGATATTTTGTGCCAGCTTCCTGAGCTTTGTCTAGTATTGACCTTTACATGGAATCCCACCCTTAAGCTGGCATGTGGAAGGTTGTTAAGTCTAGGGCTGTGGCTCAGTTGGCACCGCCCATAAACCTGATTAAACAGTGCCCATGTCCCCTGACCTCCCCCTTATGGCTCTCAGGGATCCTGGAGTTCTTCCACCATCAACTGAAGGACATCATCGAGTACGCAGAACTCAAAACAGACGTGTTCCAAAGCCTCAGAGAAGTGGGCAACGCCATCCTGTTCTGTCTCCTCATAGAGCAAGCTCTGGTAAGTCCTGAACCTACAGAACCTATGGTGTCCCCACGCTGGAGGGACCCCACACATACCCAGATGCCAAGGCTCCATCCCTGACATATATGCTTTCATTCCTGAAGGCCAGAAGGCCAGAGGGGGCAGAGAGGGCTCATACCTGGCTTCCAGCACTGGCCACACCCCTCACTGGTTGGGCCCAGTCCTCAGGGAAGGTGGCCAAGTCTTAGTTGGCCTTTCTCTTGGCCAGCTCACCACCAACCAGTATTGTGCTGGGGGAAGAAGCGGCAGTAGCCAGCTGATGCCTGCATCCTGTGTGTGCTTGTGACCATATGCAAGAGGTGTGCATCTTAGTGAATGCAAAGGCAAAATATTCACAAGCAAGGTGTGAAAGTGCGGCGGGAGCTTGCTAACTGCAGCAGGCAAGGAGAGTGTGGGGTCATTTCTCTGTGAACAAAGAAAAGCATGGGGATATTCATGCAGGTAGCCACACATTTAGGAGCATGTCCAGTTAGGGACTGTTCCTAAACATGCTTTAATGTCATAATTTTAAAAGATGTGTGAAAGGATTTTTGTTTTTCATGTGTTTGAGTGTTTTGCCTGCATGTATATATGTGCACCATATATGTGCAGTACCTTCAGAGGTCAGAAGAGGGCATCAGATCCCCTGAAACTGGAGTTATGAATGATTATGAGCATCCTTGTATGTACTGAGAACTGAACCCGGGTCCCATGCAAGAGCAGTCAGTGCTCTTAACTGCTGAGTCATCTATCTAGTCCCTGTAAAGGATATTTTAAAAATTAATGTGATGGACAGAAATGCCTCTAGGCCTGTTCAGTTGCACCATCAAGATTTAGCTGAAAATAAGAGAAAGTACTTTGAGGGTACAGTCCCCCAAAGGTGTCTGCCTGGCTTAGTGTTGTCATGTTGTCATGGAAATGATATTTAAAATGTCAGTAGTGCTGTGAGGGGCAAGCACAGGGTCCAGGGAGAGAAAAAAAATAGAAGCCAGTGTGGTATGTGTAGAAACTCACAACATGACCGCTCCGTGATATAGTTAAGGGAAAGGCTTTTATTGTAGATATGAGAGCGAGAACAGCCAGAGGCATCTGGAAGTATCCAGAACAGAGAGAGAAAGTAGTAGCTTGAACATAGCTAGCATACTGGGCCTGCCTCTGAGAGAAGCAGGAGCCGAGCAGGGTGGGGCTATGTAGAGAAGGAGCGTGGGAGAGCAGACAGGGAGGAGGGAGACAGAGAGGAAGACGGAGAGGATGGCGGAAATGGCAGGGTTATGGGGAAGTTTAGGCTAGGGAGGAGGTGAGAAGAGCCAGGATGGACTGGTGATACTGAGGGAGGGAGCGTGGAGGCCAGCATGCCCTTTGCTGTGCTAACAGGTGTGGCGCCAATGCTGGGGTGCTAACAGGCACCACAGATAGCCATTTGTCCCTTCTGCCTTTTGGAATTTGGGGTCCTGGGGTTTCCTTTGGACCTGGTAGTGTGGGGACTGCTTCCCTGCTGTGTGTCCTGGAGAATGAGTGGGAACTTCATTACGGAAGCTGTCGTAGTCCAAGGGCAGCCCTGCATCTTCAGCTCTTGTGATTGGAGACAAAGGAATTATCCTGCCATCCAGCTTAATGGCTGAAGAGAGATGGCGTGTGTAAAGTACAGGCAGCAAGAGATCAACAGTAGCAGCATCCCAGGAGCTGACGCAAGGGTGCCTGCCTGTATAGATGCATCTCTAGACGCATCTCAGGCAGCCCCTTTGCTGACTAGTGGGACATCTGCATTGCTGGCCCTGTTGCACAGATGTGACGTGCTCAGAGGCTGTGCTTACCGCGTTCATTCCCACACATTCCCTCTATGTGGAGGACCCAGTCCTGAAGGTGTCTAGTGACTAGGGTAACCGAAGGAAACAGAGAAAAAAGGGTGCAGCTGTGGGGATGGAGTGATGTGGGGCTACGTAACTCTTCGGGTGCAATGGAACATCCTCGGGTCATCTCCTTCATCTACACACAAAGTGTAGTTAACTAAGAGCTGATCCTCCTTATAACTCTAGGGGGTAGATAGCACCCCCTCCAATAAGAGACAGGCATCTTTGTCTTCTTTCTGGAGGGGGAGATGAGCGGAGATCTCACAAAGGGTGACTGCATACACTGCGTATGGGGGTGCTATGGAGTGCATGAGCGGGGTAACAGCAGGGATGTGGAGGACCTGGGGAGGATGCGCTGTTTTGGAAGGTAGAACTTGGTGTCTAGAAGGAACAGAAAGGATCCAGGGTGAGCAGGCATGGAAGGGCCAAGGCGGGACCTGAGGGGGAGAGACAGCCACGTGGCAGGCGTCCTCTGGCCACAGAACGCTGGCAGAAGCTACTGGGGGCTTCTGGGCAGGAGAGGAGGGAGGATCTGACTTTTTCAAAGGTCCCGTTGGCCTCAGGGAGGAAGCAGCAACTGGGCAGAGAGCAAAGGATGAGGCCATGGCTGTTTGCAGCCTGGGTCCGTGGAGAGAGAGGGGTGGGGTGGTGAGAGAGACCGCAAAGGCAGAAACCAGAAGGGAGAAGTAATTGTGGGGGCCGCAGAGTAAGAGAGGATGTCACTCACGGGTGGCTGTGTCATCCCAGGTGAGCCTGGGCACGCCACCACCGTGTCTGTCCTCATCCTAATTTGGGGCACTTGGACCAGCTGCTCTCAGACTCACTGTCCCCGGAAGCTCCGAAATGGCCCTGTGGTGGTGCCCGCCCTCTGTGAGGAGTAATTGTATTCCCTTCTAAATGGACTCTGGAGACCACTAATGGCTCCTCTTCCCGATGATAACAGGTTCTTTACACAGTTCAGTGGGCCTGGGTTGCTATAGCAACATAGCCTTCAGAAGTCACAAGGATAAGTAGTAAAAGACTGTTCAGGGTCTCAAGAGCACAAGGAGAAGGTAGCAGATGTCGGGGGAGACATACGAGCCCCCCACTTTCAGGAGAAGCTGTGAGTGGGAGCCTCCATTCCGACCTGGAGGTCGTGATATCATTACAGGCTAATTTTGGAGGAAACATCCTTCCCAGCTCCATCGCTAAAGACAAAAGGACACTCGGGATCTAAATTCACCTAGCTGACTGTCCTAACATGCACACAATGGTGTGGAGGACATGTCAGCAGCCAAGACAGATGAATACATGGGTGACCCTGGTCCTGGATGGCTGGGGGAAGTGGGGTGTCACAGTCCAGAATCACGCTCACCAACACGGCAGCCTCTGCTGTCTACTTTGACAAATGGGGAGATCTCCATCTATCCTGATCTGTGCTTGCTGGCATGAAAATAGGGCAGGAGAGTTCCAGAGCTTTTTTTTTAAGCTTAGAAAGTGGAAATTAGATCTGTAAGTGGTGTCTCAGTGGTTCCCATTAAGAAAGCAAAGAAAGAGAGGATGGATGGGAAGAGAGGGGACAGGAAGGAAAAAGAGGAGGGGGGAGAAAAAGAGAAAGGGAAGGAGTTAGGGTGCAAGGGAGGGGAGGAGGAAGGGAGAGGGAGGCAGAGGGGGGGGGGACTAAAGCCATAGAAGAGCTGTGTAACTGGACTGTCCCTTCTCCTGAAAGCATGAAGCCCTCAACAAGAATGAGGTCCAACAGTAGTTTTGACCTTAGCACAAGGCGTGGTAAGAGAGAATGTCAACTAAAATGTGAGTTTGTAAATAAAGATATGTCATGGGGTTACATATGCAAAATAAACAACCTACAAAATAATACATTGAGGAATAAACAGGAACTCGCCAGGCTGAGGGATCCCCAGCCATTGTCTCTAGATTTCAGGAAAGAGGCATGGATTAGAGGTCAGTAGGGACATGGCTTCATGTCCTACTTGGGAATTGTATTGATGTGTTAGCATTGATCTAAAGACCAGTTGGAAATGGTAGGAACAGATAGCTGCAAGGAGCAAGAAGTCCTTCTCCGGGTCTTTGCCGTAGCTTCTGCTTCCTCCTAGTGGATTTCAGCTTTCACATGTCATGACTTTCACACTGATAAACAAGCTGCACGGCTACTTTCTCTTACTCTGTCACTTGCCTTTCTAGAGTGACAGCGGTAACTCAGCCTTAATCTCAAGGTATGAAGAATGTATGCCTAAAAGGATAAATGTATTCTTCATTATTATATGCTTGTTGATCTCCAAACTGGAGATGTGATATGAGTCCAAAGATGATGTACCTGACTTTTCTCTTTTTGTCGGGTTGTGTGGTGTCTTTCAGGAACATGTGTGGTCAGGTGTGTAAATCTTCAGTGAATAGCTTGATCAGGCACCAAGCCCATGAAACCCCCACCAAGCCTAGAAACAGAACAGTTGCAGGCAGTTCTTCATGCCTCCTTGCATTTCTTCAAAGCAGACATGATTCTGACATCTGACCCCAGAGCTTAGTTCTGTCTTTGAAGCTCATCGAAGTGGGGTTGGGCAGTCTATTTTGTCCTTCTGTCTGAGGTCTATCATCCACTGTCTGTGCAGTTTGTATTGTAGATAGTTCCCATTGTGTTTGTCGGTGAGTTGAATGGTGTTTTAGAGTGATTGGGTGCTAATGGCTAACCGTAACTTTCAATCAGATTGTGTCAGGAAGTACCTGGCAAGCGAGTGAAGCACGCCCTACAGATATATCTGTGAAGGACATTTTCAAAAAGACTTAACTAGAGGAATGACAGGAGATAACTCATCCCAAATGTAAATGGCATCATCCCATAGGCTGGGGATGTTGGTGGGGGGAAAAAAGAGGGGTATGGGGTTGGAGAAATGGCTCAGTAGTTAAGGACACTTGCTGTTCTTGCAGAGGATTCAAGTTCAATTTCCGTCACCCATGTGAACCATCTGTAACTCTAGTTTCCAGGTATCTGGCACCCTCTTCTGGCCTCTGCATGTACTGCACACAAATGGTACACATACATATATGCAGGCAAACACACACTAAAAAAAAATCCTCTTTAAGAATAAAGGAAGAAGTCCACAAGTGCAGGTGTGGTCGGTCTCTCCCTCCCTCCCTCCCTCCCTCCCTCCC